TTCTGTCAACAAATTGTAAGTTTCAGTGGCAGATTTTCCAAGTTTTGTGAGGAATTTGATGTTAGCACGTTGTTCTGCATTAGCACTCAGCATTATTCCGACGGAGCTCAGAAACACGATCCGCTTCTAACAATGGTCGCGGCCAGACTAACCGATGCACGTGAATGAAACTTTGTGTGACGGTAGAGGGAAGTCCAAGGGTCAATGCCCTACCCTCCTCTTCGTCAATGACGTGGCCGGAAATGAGTCATAAAAGTATATACACACCTTGTATTCCTTCCCAGAAATTCTTGTATTTCTACTTTTGAGTTCTTCCTTCCTACAGCATATATTTATAATGCACGGCGTATTGTATTACGTACGTGGTCTGTAAGTGAACGTGCAGGGTCATGCCTTAAAAAGCGCGTTTCTGCTGTTCTGCTGTCAGTGTATATATTCAAATACCGTATTTACGCATGTATAGGCCGCACATTTTTTGCCAAAAATTCAAGAGGAAAACTGGGGTGCGGCTTATATTCGAAATATTCGAAATCACACTTCATTTAAAAAAAAATATATTCATAATTAGTAATACAGGTTGTTCTACTCCTGAAATAATATTCCAAGAAAATTATTTTTTCTATAATTTCTGTCTGAAAATTGTACTGCGGCCTATACACGCACGCGGCCTATACATGCGTAAATACGGTATTTGTAAAATTTTACTTCTTTAGCTAAGTGAATAAAACAAAGTGCTACTGATAGAATATTCAGGATGATTTTAGGTCATTGTCTTAAAATTTCCACGTTTCGGTACTTTCAAGATAATTCCTGAATCAAAATGGAATAAAAAAGCTATTCTGAAGTTTTTTCATGTTCTTCATAAAACCGCCCAGACAAATGTCCGGACTACCTCAATCAAGTTATAAGAGAGTTCTTCCATATCATTGACAATTATTTATTTACTAACCACCATATCATGGACTCAGATACTGACAGCCCACAGATGAATTACCTTTGCCATTACTACTAGTAGCATTCCTGTCTCCGCTCACTCGAACACTGGGATCGTGAGTTCGAACCCTACTCAAAGCATGGATATCTGTCTACGTTTATTCTCTTTGTGCTATCCTGTGTGCAGATAGCGGCCTTGCGACGGGCTGATACCCCGTCCAAGGAGCACTATCGGCTGTCTTACGGTTAAGAAACTGATGTGAAACAAAGCGTTGCACGGAAGCAGTATGCTCCAAAGTGGGAGCAAGAAGGAAGAAGGAAGAGAGAGAGAGAATGAGAGACTAGCAACATGTGGAAAGGAATAGCATTAAGAACTTTTTTTATTCCTCTTTCCATTTCAGCTGCGTTTCTTGGTTTCAGATGATAAAATTCTTCCTTTTCTCATCCCCCCCCCCAAGACGAAGACGTCACAGGGTGCTATTTCAGGGAAGAGAACAATTGTAGCCTCCCTGGCGAATGAGGAGATCTGAAGTCAATGTTATAATATATTTTTCGCTGGCAGCTTTGTCACAAAACTGCATGAAGAATGAAACCATTTACTCGCATTTAAAAATAAGCATTAAATTATCTTACTGCATAGACTTAACGCCTTCTGAATTCCTCATTATGGTTCTTGTGCTTCCTACACCTCACAGCATTCAAGCTGTAAAATTCAATTTACTCGTCCCATAGAGTGAGTTTACGAGGACAGGCTTAACGCTATTTAGAGAGAAGTGGACTAGAGATGGGATATCGGCCGTGTTACAAAAGAACATATACAGCACTTAAAACACTTCCAATGACTTCATTCACTTTCATGTTAATTCCTTCAATAAAACCAGAGCTTTAAACTAAGCCTATTGATATCCTACGTTATTCTGAACACGCGATAATTGCTAAAGGCCGCAGTGGGCAGAACGTCACTAACCTAATGGAAGCCAGCTGACAGCGAAGAGGACTGCGACGCCAGTCAGCAAGAGAGTGGTTCTGCGGTTGCGCTCAAGTTCCTTCCTCGCTCTGCGAGAGTCTCTCTGGGTCGTCGCATGGGCGTGTAAGTACGAAGCTATTCGAGCGTGGACCTGGAACAAGCAATTTCAATATAATGCGGGAAAGATTTATGTTATTAAAATGGATTTTAGAGAAATGTGGTAGGGGTGGGATATAGACCGGTTTCATCTGACTCAGGATAGGGACCGGTGGCGGGCTTCATTCAACACGGTAACGAATCTTCGGGTTCCATATAATGTTGAGAATTTTTGAGTGGCTGAGCGACTGGTGGATTCTAAAAAGAAGTGGGCCCCATGGAACTAGTTAGTTAGTTATAGTACTCGTATAGCCAGTCAGGGTGTGATCAGCAACGCTGTCAGTAGCTCAGAATACATACCGTCGAATGGTAGGATTTTCGCCTATCAGAGTGGCCGCGCGGTCTAAGACATGAACTGCCTCCTCCCGCTCGAACGCTGGTATCGTGGGTTCGAACCCCTCTCGGAGCATGGATATCTGTGTGCGTTTATTCTATATTTGTGTTATTAGGTGTGTAGGTAACGGCTTTGCGACGGGCTGATCACCCGTCCAAGGAGTCCTACCGACTCTGTAGGGATTAAGAAACTGAAAAAGATGCGAAGGTCCACATGGGCTGTAGAGCCATGGATGGATGGATGAACAGATGAGTAGGTAGGTAGGTGGTTAGGTAAGTATGAGTATGTTGGTAGGTAGGTAAGTAGGTGGATGGACGGATAGATAGATAGATAGATAGATAGATAGATAGATAGATAGATAGATAGATAGATAGATAGATAGATAGATAGATAGATAGATAGATAGATAGATAGATAGATAGATAGATAGATAGATAGATAGATAGATAGATAGATAGATAGATAGATAGATAGATAGATAGATAGATAGATAGATAGATAGATAGATAGATAGATAGATAGATAGACAGATATTATATTGGAAAGTATGTGAAAGGAAACGGCCACATGTTGTTTGTAGGTACTAACCCAGTGTTTGTCTGAAGGGACTGAAGAAAACAACGAAAAACATCCAATGGTATAGTCGGTATCCTAGCCGAGATTCGAAGCGGTCAGTTCCTTGATATATTTCAGAAACATTATCGCCGCAGTCATCTTGCTGCGGGAAAGCATTAAGTCTCCCCTGTGCCTGATCAGCAAACAATGAACACACATATGGAAATGGAGACAAAACTCCTCCCTTCTCTCTAGACCCCGGCCGTAGATAGAAGTGAGCTTCACGCTCTGCCTGCTTAGTTTTGGGACAATGACTTCGGTGTCCACTGAATAGGATACTCAGTGACAACTTCAGAACAAGATTTAGATTTGGTACTGAAGGAGGAATCCGTGCCCCATTCGGGAATATAATTCCGGTGACATGGCCTGCAGTCAATCACTTTACACCAACTGAATATTCTTCTAGGTACTGGTCATATGTGACTTTCACAATGTCGTGCATAATTAAGAATAAAAAGCTCTTTCTTCATACTCAGGGTGTGAAACTTGGTCTCTCTCATTAAGGGAGAACATAGACTGAGGGTGTTTGAGAACAGGGTGTTCAGGAGAATATTTAGACCGAAGAGAGATGAAGTGACAGGAGGTTGGAGAAAACTGCATAATGAGAAGCTTCATAACTTGTACTCTTCTCCATATGTAATTAGAATGATCAAATCAAGGAGGATGAAGTGGGCAGGGCATGTAGCACGAATGGGGGAGAAGAGGAATACATATAGGATATTGGTGGGACAGCCAGAAGGAAAGACACCACTGGGAAGACCAATGCGTAGTTGGGTGAACAATACTAAAATGGATCTTAGAGAGATAGGATGGGATGGGATGGATTGGATTGATCTGGCTCAGGATAGGGACAAGTTGGGGACTCTTGTGAACACGGTAATGAAACTTCGGGTTCCATAAAATGCAGGGAAGTTGTTGAGTAGCTGCACAATTGGCGTCTTCTCAAGAAGGGCGCAGCTCCATGAGTGAGTAAGTAAGTTCTTTATACCCAATTATGACAAGTTTTTGGAAGCGGGGTCTTCCCTCGAGACTTCCAGACGCGAACTTTTATATATTTACTTATCCCCACAAAGTTTGTCATGTGCTGGGTTTGTAAAAGTAGAAAACAAATAGAAAAAACTAATCCTCAGAGCTGGAGCTATGAGACAAGAAAACAACTAACACACAACCAAGCAGCTTACACTCCAGTCTCACTCCAGCTGCACTCGTGTCATCAGTCAATCTAAGAATATGTCTAGATAAGACAAGTGTCACAACAGAGAAGCAGTAAATGGCAAAAAGCTTTTGTATCTTGGGATGTTCCCACGTTGAGGAAGCTGCTGATGTGTTCAAGGCTGTTAGCGTTTTCGTTTGTCCGCGGTTAATAATGTTAAGAGAAATTAGCTGATAGCAAGAACTGCAAACATCTAAGAGGCTAAACCATTACTTAATTTATCATTTGTACTGACGTTATATCATTATCATCATGATTAACTGACTCCGTGAAGGAGAGTCCTCCTCAAGGAGCTTGAAGCCATTCAGCTCCTCAAAAACTGTCACGGCTCTTATGGATCTCTGAGTGTCGTTACTCTGTTCATAAGAGTCTGTCGTTCTTTCAATTCCGGGTCAAATGACTCTAGTACACTGAAGCTTATTCATACCTTGTAAGATTTGAGGCTTTCAAGGCGGTGACTATGAAGAAAGCAATCTTCTGGGATTTTGCACCGTGTATGTGTGGTGTTAACCGACGTTTCGGAGGAACGCATCGCCCCCATCTTCAGGGTAGAAGGAAAAATATAAGAAATATAAGAAGAGACCGTGCTTTCACCGGTTCTCACGGTCTCTTCGCTTGCGGATTTCTTATATTTCTCATCCTACCCTGAAGATGGAGGCGATACGTTCCCCCGAAACGTCGGTTAACACCACACATACACGGTGCCAAATCCCAGAAGACTGCTTTCTTTTTATTCATACCTTATTTCTTTAAGACCATTTTTATATTACCATTCGACGTAAGCAGTTTCCTCCCTTAAATTTCTGTGACAACCATGTTGTAATTATTAACCATGGCTTCATTTTGTGCTACATATCCAGCTCACCTCACACACGCTAATTCGATTGCCATGCAAAAACTTGTAGAGGAGTAAAAATTGTGAAGCTCCCCATGTACAGTATTACCTAATTCATTATTGTTATTATTATATCGACAATAATAATAATAATAATTCACTTCAATTCTTCATTATTTATGTGCCATATCAGTATATGGATATATAGACAACTTCAATAAGTCCACGAGATTATAAAAATCATTTCCATTAAAAAGCCCATAAATTCACCAATCGCTTCCAGGTACATGCTATAAGGCCTTTCGGAATTACTGGGTTTTTGAGCTTTGTCCATCATCCGATATTCTAGAAACTAGAAACACAATTTTTACGTAACTGATTTGTTTCCGTCCTCAGGTGAGGGGAGTGAAACACCTACTCTGTTAGGTACCTTAGAAATAAGTAACCTCAGTCACTAGACCTAGCTCTTTTTAAGGGACTCAGCAGAGTAGGTGTCTGCCCTCTTCACCTGAGGATGGAAACAGATCCATTTTCCTGAAAAGCTGTTTTCTAGTTTCTAGAATGTTTGACGATGGACGAAGTCCAGACACCCAGTAATCCTGAGCGTTAGACAAACTCGATAAAACTCTTTATAATCAATAAGATTTGTATTCAATTATATTAAATTCCCTACGAATATGAAATTTGGAAGTTTCGGAGTTTGGTTCTTCCATTATTTGAGTGCAGGTTTACTTCCTCTCAAGTTTCTATGTGGTTAGTACCGTCTTATTGAAACTGGAAAGTCATAATGTTTTTATTATCACCATGAGAAAATCATAATTCCACAATATCGTTCGATACGGGAGATAGCCCATTTCCTGAGCTTGCCGAACAGTCCAAATTTCCCATGCCAAGTGGAGAGAGGGAGCCACCGGAAGAGAAGCAAACTGGCGACTTCAGTTGAGAAAGCGAAGGCTCGCGCTGTGATACGATTCCTGCATTTGCAAGGCAAGTCTGCCAGGGAGATCCACGATCAGATGACCTCTGTGTAGCAGAAAGGTGTACCATCATATGACTCAACGGTCAGGTACATGTCGAGAGTAACATCTGTAGGGTCTGAAGTTCTGACGGCAGTGGCTACGAAGATTTCGCCGCGTAGTCTGGTGAAAGTCAACCTTTTTCATCTTCTGGGCTACAACTCCGGTTGGTCCAGTAAGGCTGGGGCCACACGAGCGCACGAAGTACGTCCGTTGCAAAGAACGTACTTTATGACGGACGTTGCTGAGGACACCACACAGTTTTTTTATTGCTAGTGGAGTGTGACTAAGTCCCTTGTACTGCGGCAACTTCTGGCCTATTGTACCAGCCCCAGATGATAGGTGAAGGTGATTGTGGAGTAATTGGTGAAATGAAGAGTGGCAGACGAAACCGAAGTACTCAGAGAAAACCTTCCGCAGCGCCACTTTGTCCACCACAAATCCCACTTGACCAGACCCCGGGATCGAACCCGGGCCACCGCGGTGGGATGCCAGCGACTAACCGCTTGAGCTATGACGCGGCCGACACCGCACAGTTGCAGAATGCGGTGCATAGTTTTTATCTGCAGTGGAGCCAGAAGGAAACCTAGCATTCGCCTCTCTTGTTTATTTCTACAACGGACGTCACGACGTTCGTTACAACGGACGCATTTTGTGCGCTCGTGTGGCCCCAGCCTAAAAGACAGCTTTCTTTTAATATTCTGGGATATAGAGCCATGTGTTACGATGAAAATCAATCCTTCTATATCTTCTGATATATATCACCGTACAATCTGGTGAAAGCAAGCCCATTTTTCTATCTTCGGGTTATCTGTCACCGTTTATATGGAATGCGAAACATGGAGGTGTCTTAGCACACCTATCTATCTCTCTATCTATGATTCTATAGTCCTCTGTTGGACCTTGACAGCTTTTCTGTTTCTTGATCCCATACACAGTCGATAGGAATCCTTGGACGGGTTATCGGCTCGTCGCAAGGCCGCTACCTACACACAGAACAACACAAACACAGAATAAACGCACACAGACATACGTTGAGTGGGATCCGAACCCACGACAGTTTATGCCTTAGACCGTGAGGACACCGTGATCAGCATTAATCACATTCAATTCGTGTAAGTAGAGCATAAGAACTATTCAGAAATTCACTATAGATGGCACAAGGGCCAAAGTCGGTTGTCTAAGCTTCGGATCTGTGGTTTAATAAGGATGTGCTCTTCCTGCGTGAGGAATATAAGAGATTTTTCAGTTGAAGATGAAACACAAAAATATGGACTCACAACTTCTTTATGAGATTAGAAGTAGCAGAAGTCATCCAATAATTCTACCTTTTCGAACTCAGTATCCTTAAAAACGTAGGACATTATTGTATAGTGTAAGCCTCGACATCATACGGATATGTCTTCCTACTTCAAGGACTACAAACGAAATAAATAGAATAAGAGAATAAAGGAACTGAAGGAAGAAGGAAAAGGAAGCAAAGAAAGAAATAAAATAAAAAAAGGGATTACCCTTTTGAAAATCCTTACGACTCACAAAGAAGAAAGACGCACTCGCTCTCTATACTTAGCTGCTCCTGCTTGAAGGTAATAAGAGATGATTTGGGTACATACCGTCGCCACAACAAGCGCCGGGATGACAGATTGAAGCAAGAGGAGACAGACTGCATAGAAAAGACGCGCCCTCCGCGACGGCCACCTCTCAATGCACGCCTCGTACAGCACGACGCGTTGAAACGTCACTGCCTCAACAACCTGGAACGTCAAGTGCAGACATAAGCTGTACACACCTGATTCTGAAAGAGAATCCTTTGAGTCTGTCTCCTCTCTCCTCATGAGACTCAGCTACCTTCAAACTGTAACCTGTGCCCTCACTTTGCCTGCCGATTCCATTCAGTAACAGGGTGATCGGATTCAGCAAGCAAATCTGAATGGAAGAAGTCATATGAGATACCTACGTATAAACAGGATAATATTAAAACATCTTTTAAACAAAGGATGTTGTGAAGTTATGAATTGAAATCATCTGCCTCGGGATAGAGATCAGAGTCTGGTTCTTGTGAACACCATAATAAAATTTTGGGTTCCATAAAAGGAGGGGAAACTCTTAAATATCCAAAATACTATTAGCTTCTCTTAGAGAACACTGCTTCTTGAAGTTCATTTTAACGAAATTTTATTTAATTATGCGTATACAATTATATTTAAAAACTAGAATCACGTCAACACGAGAAAAAATATCTACACAGGGAAGTAGTTATTACAGAATTGATGTGTAATTGATGAGATTCGTGAAGGATCAATGCATGTAGAGAGATACAGAGGAGACCAGAATAAATATATATAAACAGGGGATAACGTAGTCGATATAGCGACTGATTACGGGCTGGACTACCGAAGGGTCGAAGTTCGAGTCCCTGTATGGTCGATAATTTTCTCTTCTTCACAAAATCCAGACCGACTCTGGGGTTCACCTAGCCTCCTATTCAATGGCTATCGGTAGCTCTTTCCATGGGGGTAAAGTCGCCGGGGCGTGAAGCTGATCACTCACTTCCAGCTAGTGCCGAGTTCAATAAAATATGGATCTATAGATCCCCCCCCCCCACCCATGTGCCTTCATGGCGTAGTGTTTAATTTTTTTCCTGTGGCGCTAGAGCTTCAATTTGGGCCTAGGCCTACCTCCATGAAACTCTCCGTTTCACTTCGGTTTACTAGATCTTACACATACGGTAGGACTCCTTGGGCGAGTGATCAGCTCGTCGCAAGGCCTCTACCTGTAGACAAACACAGAAAAACGCACACAAACATCCATGCCCTGAGTGGGATTCGAAACCACGATCTCGGTTTCCGAGCGAGCGAAGACAGCGCATGCCTTAGACCAGTGTTTAATTAGCTGACACTACATTGTCGTACAATATTGTGACGTGTTGCTTAGCCAGTGTTTGAACTTCGATGAATAGCTCTCTATGTTCATAATTGTATCAGCCTTTCACGGCAAATCTAAATCCTTCATTCTGGTTATTTACGTAAATTATGAAAGTTCACTTTATATATTCACTTCCTTCTATAATGTAACTCTGTTTACAATCTCTTCTTAATTTAAAATAACATTAAAATCACGGTCAAACTGCTACATGTTTCAGCCCTACTTGGCCATCCTCAGGCAACTGTTCACTTGTTGTAACCTCTACACTGCTTACTTACTAATGGAGCTGAGCCCTTCTGGAGGAGACACCAATTCAGAAGCTACTCAAGAATTTCCCAGCATTTTTTATGGAACCCGAAGGTTCATTACTGTGTTCACAAGTATCCATATCCTGAGCCAGATCAATCCAATCCATACCATCCCATCCTATCTCTCCAAGATCCATTCTAATATTGTCCACCCACCGACGCCTTTGTCTTCCCTGTGGTCTCTATTTTAAATATTCCAATGTTATTGCATTTTCGTGTTCATATTAAAATGCATTTGTTTGATTGCATAACACTTTTTATCTTTTCTTGCTTTATTCCATCTTGCGGCTTCCTTGTATTATGTGTTGTTTCATTTAACTCTATGAATATTGGCGTGGTACATACACTCGACTAGTGGGAATAAAGCTATTAATGGGGCACAGATGGGGCACAATAACAAAGATAACAACACCACACCGATGTTCGTAGGGCTAAATAAAAACAAGTAAACACGGACGTAGCAAGAAGAAAAGAACGCAAGGAAGTTAAAGAGTTATGTTCTCAGACAAATGCATTTTAATATAAATAATGAAAATGCAATAAAATTGGAATATTTTAAAAAAAACTAATGCAGTATAGAGGTTTCAAGAAGTGAACAGTTACCTTGAGATGGCCAAATAAGGCCGAAACATGTAGCAGTTGATTATGAATTTTAATATTATTTTAAATTAAGTAGAGATTTCAAACAGAGTTGCATTACAGACGGTAGTGAATGTGTAGGATGATACATCAATGCAACAGGATGCTAAAATACAATATTGTTGGAAGTTGTTCTAGCCTTCAGGCTTATTACATCAAATGAGTTAAGTGTAACTGTACCTTAAGCCACGTAGGCAAACACACAGAAGAGTTCCCTGAATTTGCATCCATACGTTGGAAACGATTGTACTGTCGTGCAGTCAATTCTGTAGAACTGAGACAAACACGTTAAACAGAGAGGTACATAGAATTAATTTTCATGCCTCTCCTATAGCGTTCTTCTAAATTGCCTAGGGCGTCTTCTCTCTCTTATGGCGCTGTGTAGACACAGAGACATAAGAATAGCAGGATATCACATGTCTCATGTAAGACTTAAATCTTCACTGAGATGAAGTACCATAAACATTCTCCATTTCCGACTCTGGTCTTAACCCTGGGCGTCAAATTCCTGGAAAGTGATTTTTCTCTGATGTTAAGATAACAAGGCTTATAGCCCGGGGTTATTTGGTAAAACCTAATAGCTTATCTTTTCTTCTTCTGTATCAAGGAATACGTGCTCCAAGTCCATTCCGAAATTCAAAGCTATTCCTGTAACAGGCCGTGGAGGCCCATAAGGTTGTGAGACGTAAAGTTTCCCACATTTTCTCTAGACAATTGGCTCATAGTTGGCGGTGAGGTTGTTACGCTCCGGCCTCCTTCTGCCCCAGAAAGATTCCTGGTACTCATTTCTGTCAGAGACTGAGTCGACTCCAGGACCATAGTGTGGCTAGAATCATTAGGTCAAATAAAAAATCCAATGACCTCATTAGGAATCGAACCCGCGACATTACGGCTTGTAATACAGTTCCTTAACCAACTACGCTACCGCGTGCCCCTGTTCCGATATTCAGAAGTTCTGAAACTGGTCTTTCAGCATACTTTTAAGTCTTCCCTTATAAATGTATTATTTGGGAATATATGCATAAGTCTACTGTCTCCAATGGCAACAATGAATTAGAAGTGCAGATTAAGGTAAAATGGTCCTGTGCTTATTAAATTAATAACTACGTCCTGAAGATATTTGTGGGAGTGTAGGTACAGCTCCACATTTCTTTACCTCGGCACTAGATAGAGATAAGTGAAGAGCTTCACACCCTGGCTGTTTTCCCCCGGGGAAAGCGTACATATACCCGCTAGGTAGGAGATAGGGTAGGCACCAGAGGACGTCTGGACGCTGTTTAGAAGAGAATAATCTCTTTACCCTGCTGGGAATCGAACACCATTTATCCATCTCATAGCCCGACGTTATACAGACTGAGCTGTCCCGGTTTCCAGAATTTCAGTTACGTACATCCTGAGACACTGCGACGAAGTCGAACAGTTGTCACAGTATGTGAGGTAATAGAGAAATCAAGTAGTTTTGTAAATATTAATTTTAAGTTATTTAATATTATTATTCCCATCACGAATGTCGTGCAGTATTAGGCATGGAATTCTTTCACCAAATTGAAATCATGGATCGCGGGAACGAATCCCACTCGACACAGGGATATCTGCGTGTGTTTGTGTTGTGCTGTGTAGGTAGCGTCCTTGAAAAAGGGCTTGACCCAACGAGTCCTACCATCTGTCTGTAAGATTCATACTTACTTACTTACTCACGAAGCTGAGCACTTCTGGAGGAGCCGCCAATTCTGCAGGTATTCAACAACTTCCCAACATTTTATGATGGAACCCGAGGGTTCATTTCCGTGTTCAAAAGAGCCTTCCATTCGTTCCTATCCTGAGCTAGATCAATCCAATCCATAACATCCCATCCTATCTCTCTAAGATCCATTTTAATATTGTCCACCCACCTACGCTCTGGTCTTCACAGTACTCTCTTTCCTTCTGGCTTTCTCACCAATATCCTCTATGTATTCCTCTTCTCACCCATTCGTGCTACATGCCCTGTCCACATCATCTTCCTTGACTTGATCATTCTAATTATACTTGGAGAAGAGTACAAGTTATGAAGCTCCTCATTATGTAGTTTTCTCCAACCTTCCGCCCCTTTATCACTCTTCGATGTCTGTAAGATTCATAGTTGGACAATGTATATGATAGATACATATTTTAGTTATTTTAATGTGTGAACATGGCATGCAATGAACTGGTTTGACGTGGATAAGTAAGCACCTGAAGATGGCATTATTATGCCGAAACATGTAGTGCGAGGGAGAGAAGGAGAAAAATGAGTGTATGCACTGCAAGACGGATTAAATAAATCATGGAATTACGTAATTTATTATCAAATGAGTTGCCGCTAGAATTAAGATCCGATTGATACACATTAATTTGTAGACTACTGGTCCAATATTTGTAGAATCTAGAATGGATTATGTTGGCTTGAGATAAACCCCTGTACAATCTTTGCTTCCACATTTCAAACATTTACTTTAAAGTATGTAAGATTTGAGGCTTTCACGGTGGTGACTATGAAGAGAGCAGTCTTCTGGGATTTGGCACCGTGTATATGTGGTGTTAACCCACGTTTCGGAGGAACGTCTGTTAACACCACATATACACGGTGCCAAATCCCAGAAGACTGCTTTCTTCATTTATTTTAAGTAATTGGGGGTCTAATATCCAGGCTGTAAGACAATATGATCTCATATTAAAATTAATCTCTATGAATTAGACAGAAATTAATGGATAAGAGCATGTAACAGTCGAGTATTCTGGTGTTGAGATAATGAAGTACTGAGCTCCCAATCGCTATATGCCTAGTTTGTAACAGAGCTGGAACGATCAATTTAGCCGGAATACCATTTGCCCAGACAATGGGGAAACGCCGTGATAGAAGG